GTGTGACAGAGGTCCTGGGTCTGTTACACTTGTGAACTTGTGAGACTGAGTATTATCACTGTGGTGCTCGTGTGACTGAGGTCCTGGGTTTGTTACACTTGTGAGAATGAGCTGTGCCCTCTACCCCAGTGCCTGTCGCCACGCCCCAGCTCAGCTGTCAGAGCCCCAATCGCACCCAGGACTCCTCACTGGAGCCTGACCTCACCTGCAGAGCCTCAGAGGGAGGCAGCCTTCACATCTCTTGCTCAGCCTCCCGAGGGACCAGCCCGAACATCTCCTGGTACCGAGACGGGAGGCCACTTCTTCACGGTCAGAACCTGAGCATCGTGGGCCTGGACACATCCCACTGCGGGGTGTACACCTGTGTGGTCAGCAATGCGGTCAGCAGGAAGGAGGCACAGTTCAGGTTACAAGGTGGGCAGTCAGAGCGCAGGCACCGAAACGTTAACCTTTCTGCGTGGGCAGCTGATACCCCTGGGGTAACACGCAGGGCTAGAGCCAGGAAATACTTACAGATTGCTAAGGGATCTTTTTTTTTACTGTCTTAAGTTGCCATGGGTTTTGCAAATTGTTGTGATTAAACTGAGCGGATGAAATCACAGCTCATCTCACCAATGCAAAATGCCTTTTGGACAGTGGGATAGCACAGTAAACGCACATGTTGTTTCTAGTCACAGAAAAGCAGTGTAGATACGTAATGATTACCCTTTTCACTCTGAAAGAAAACTTACTATTCATTTTTACTCTTAATCGTTAACAGGGCTGGCTTCTTTTCTTTCTCTTCATCAACAGAATTCCCTATGTGTGATAAAGGGAGCAAGAAGCTGATAATGCTGGTGTCTATTCCTGTTGCTGTCCTGGTTCTCCTCATTGTATCGGCCAAGGCCATCTTCTTTATCAAGCGCAGGCCTGTATCTCACACCGGTAGGTCCTGTGTCTCCTGTCCTTCTCATGGGGAGGTGTGTGATAGGATTTCAGCCAGATCTTACTCTTTCTAGAACTGAGCTCCCCTCACCTCGACGTGATCACAGTGAACAAACACCTTGGGGTGAAGCTGCTTCATGAGAACTCAAGATGCTAAAACAAACTCCAGAAAGAGCCACAGAACACACCAAACATCAGCAAGCAAGCCAGGAACTCCCTTGTGTATCTGCTGAGAGACCTTTCAATCTTAATTATATGAGATGTTTGTTTTGCTCTGCCAAAGGCAAATGTACATTGCAAGTCTCTTCTGCTTTATTGTCAAAATGAGACCTGTTTTAAAAATGTGATATATGATGATCTCCAGAAAAGCTCTCCCTCGGTGGAGTGTTAAACGCGATTTAGTACTCATCATATTGTAGGCCACTGCTCAATCTGGCTCTTTGGAAGACAGCTGGCGTCCTGCCAGGTTTTGCAGTCTGATTCATTGCTCACTGTAAATTTCCCCCCTGCTCTTTTCTGAAGCCTAGTTTCAAAGTTCCTAGACTTTTCCTACTTTCAAGTCCTGAAATGGCACCCCCCCCCCCACCTAGGTTTTGTATGACATCACAATGGGGGTGATGTCACATCTGGACCATGTTCAGTGCACTGAGCCCGGTAACACGAGCACAGGCAAGCCAGAGCACTTGTAATCGCTCTGGGGAGGGAGAGAGGTGCTCGCTGGACGGGTAACTCCAGGAACATTTCATGTCTGTTGGCCGCGCAGGAGCCACAGTGTCGTAACACACTGTCGTTGTTTTTGTTTTGCGGCTGTTGCCGATCCCTAGATGAGAAAAGCACTGCCCTGCAAGGCGAGAGCATCTACATGCCCATGTATCCCAGCTTGAGGAGACCAGCCAAAGGCCCGAATCAGGAAGCGCAGACACCGAACCCGTCGGCGGAAAAGCTCACAGGGCGCACGATGACCAACACTAACAGACTGGAAGTACCCATGGATTAGGACACTGGTGGTGGCGTCTTATTAAACGGACAAGAAAAGGCACATTGAAGCATTAAAATGTCTCAGTGTCACAGACTCTGAAGGCCCAGTGTGGGGGTGTTTTCCTGACGTTTGGTGAAATCCATCTCCCTGCTGTAGCAGTGTTGGAAGCATGATACAGGAAAGACAAAATGAGTCTTTTTCTCCCAGGAATGTTCTCCAGGCATGGACCTGGGAATCGGGGTAGGAACTGGCTCATGCCAGAAGCCTATTGGCCTAGCTTCAAAAGCCATGGCACATTTAATTGCATTAGTGTGTGCCCACCAGCTTCTTCTGTGGATGGTTTTACTGTACAAAGCCATAATGTATGACAAAAGGCACTGTGTAAAATAAAAAATATTTTTGTTATTCTTGATGTTAGTACTAGGGTATGAGGCACAAAGACACGTCATCTCTGGCCACAACAGTCATATGCTTTTCAGCAATCGTCACACTCATGGTACAGAAGATGTAAAGCAATATATATACTCCCTCCTAAAGTGTGAGTTCTCAAGTCAAGTACGAGTGTGTGTAATTAAGAAAGTTACAGACACCACCGCCCCTAGGGACACACTGCTGCCGTCATGAAAGTGTGTTGCTCAGTCTCGGAGCCCCTGCTAGCAGACCGCGAGGTGAGGGTGTCCTCTAGTGGACATATGTGGCATTGCAGCCCCACCGTTTCATTTCTCCCCCAAAATGCTGCTAATTGGGAAAGCTGGTAGTTTCTTATTCCGCAGAATATTGCACCGTGTAACCCCAAGACCGAGGAAGGCGCCAGGGATAACAATAAAATGGAAGATACAGATTTTTTTTTCATGGTTGATCCTGCTGTTATATCCTATCTGTGTGGTATAGTGACTGTGAATGAAGTTAAAACTGAAACACAGGCTGCAGGGGCACTTTTATTTAATATTTTTGTATAGATTTACTGGGGAATTCCAGGTCCTGTATTTACTAAAAAGTATGTTGTTGTTTTTTTTCTTTTTGCCTCAATTTTTTGTCAAAAATAGTAGGCACATAGGGCAATGACTACGAGTTATTTCCAGCTGTCTGAAAAGGCCACAGCTTGAAAAACTGATCTTTGAAGACAAGAAAAATCCACCTTTTGTTTTTTTTTCTGTATATTTCTGTCTGGGGTCTGTTCTATTTATTTTAAGACATAAAAGAAATCTGATGGTTTACACTTAATGCCCAGGGGGTTATCTTCAACTCTAGATCTTAACCAGGCCTCTGCGGTGTTTACTTCCAGAGATATTACAAAGTGTCTGAGGGGACAAAGGTCCAGCTGGAAATGAGCTCTGGAGGGCCTAGACAGTAAAAGGTTTTAACTTTTAACCCTCCACTGCTCTTGGAGGAACGTTTTCCAAACTAGGAGAAGAACAGGCCATCTTACAATTCCAATTCGTTTACTAACTGTTGTTTGTGCAATTCCCCAACCAGCAAAAAAGCCTGCTTCAGGATGAACACTAAAACAGAATGCTTGTGGTGTGATGAAGGATTAGAGCTCAACTCAACTCAGTTATCAGGTCCTTTATTTCCTATAAACCACAGAATCATATGTACACCAACAAGTAATAGGTTTATTCCAAGCTGAAAAGAGAAGAAAGAAAAGACAACGTTTTGGCTGTGGAGCCTTCTTCGGTGTGGTCTTCTTCACACCTGAAGAAGGCTCCATGGCCGAAAAGTTGTTTTCTTTCTTCTCTTTTCAGCCTGGAGTAAACCTATTACTTGTTCTTTTGCAGCCTACGCATGCTGACGCAGCTCCCCACCTGAACTACTATCATATGTACAGTATATGTAAAAAACCTAGAGTAAAATGAGAATCAAAAAAGCCTTTATTTAGAACCTTTCCACAGAGCACCAGATAGTTATGATCAGAAAAAGTGCCTAAACTCATATGACAGCATGCGGGCAAATACTCTTCAGTCCCCACCAGCAGGAAATTATCCTCCTGGGAAAGCTAAGGTTGCTGCTGGAAGAGATGTTAGTGAGGCCGGTAGGGGGCGCTCACCCTGCGGTCTTTGTGGGTCCTAATGCTCTAGTGCAGTGACGGGGACACTATACGGTAAAAAAAAAGGTGGCGTCCTTCGGACTCTCCATGATTATTAAAAATCACAGGGCATTTCTCAAACGGAGTAGGGGTGTTAAACTTGTATCCTGGCCAAATCTACCCCCTGGCCCTTACCAATCATGGCCTCCTAATAATCCCCATCTCTGAACTGGCTTCATCCCTCTGTTCTCCTCCCCACTGAGAGCTGGTGTGTGGTGAGTGTTCTGGCGCACTATGGCTGCCGTCACATCATCCAGGTGGGGCTGCAGACTGGTGGTGGACCAGGGGAGTCCCCATTACCTGTATAGTGCTTTGAGTGGAGTGTCCAGAAAAGCGCTATACTGTATACTGTGTAAGGAATTATTATTATTATTTTACTCCACATGCAGGACTGCACAGTTCTGTCCAGCTGCAGTGTCATCACCGGCACACTTCCTGTCCCCAGGATTGTCCCGTGAGGGTCTGTCTCCCCCTCCCGCGCTCCCAGCCGGTGTGTCTGCTTGCTGTAGGAGAGGAGCCGATGGGTGTGTGTGTGGGGGGGGTGTTATTGTTTTAGATGTCGAGGGGGTTGAGCCCGAAGTCGGTGAGCCGCTCCTTGTGCTGCAGGTGCAGCGCGGTGCTCTCGTCCCGCCAGCGCCGCCGCGACTCCGCCAGCCGCGTCAGCAGGGAGTCCAGACAGCCCTGCCAACGAGAGCAGGATCGACACCGGCGTGAGACTGCCGTTTAAAAACAAAAAGCATCAGATCCCGACCAGAGTCCTTCCGTGCCCACTGGCCTTCGTCTCTACACGCCCTGCTCTGAAGAGAACGGATCACAGAAGTCATACCGGCTCAAGGATCACAAGCAGAGAACCACACGATCAGAGCACTTTGCAACCTGAAAGGATTTAAAGGTGCTTCTGCCCTGCACTCGTCGCCCCGTCTTGCTCGTCCCAAACACGGCTGGCAGCTCTTGACGTGCAGCTGAGCCAGACGATCAGAAGGACAGTGAAGCAGGGCCACTCGCTCCCCCCTGCCCAGACCCTGACTCACGTGCAGGATTTTCTCGTAGCCGGTCTCCATGTCGTCGATCTTGCCCTGGAGCTCAGCGATGGCGGCCTCCTTCTCCAGCTCCAGCTGTTCCCGGGAATCGCGTTCCTTCTGCAGGGCGTCCTGACACAGGCCTGCGGGGGGGGGGACACGGAGCCTCCATCTGGATCACGGGGCCGCGATGTCATGATGTCACTTCTATCTCCTATCCCGGCAGCGCGGCGGGTACAGACACACACACTCACACCGGCAGCAGTTATAACCACTGGGCCACAGCGCCTCCTTCTCCATTATCTAAAAGCTGCTAAATGTTGCATCGGCTTCGGTCTCTTGCAAAAGCAATGGCACACAAGGTCACACACACACGTAAGAACACAGGAGCACTTTAAGAGACACCAGTTAACATTCACTCTATGCCTTTGGAAGGTGAAGGAAAACCAGAACACCCCAAGCTGACACGCCCAGGGGAAGAACATGCAAACGCCACACAGAAGGTGTTTCAGGCAATGATTACACCCAGGACCCAAGATCTGTGAGGCAGGGGTCTTGACCTCCCACACCACACTGCCGCCCCCTTTCTCATTTCCTCACTCCACCAAGGAAAAGAAACCTCACACACACACACACAGAGCCAGAGAGACGCCCCTACCCAGCTGCTTCCGGAGCCTGCTGACCTCACCCTCCAGCTGGTGAACTCTGACCCCCAGCTCCGTCTGCATGGTTTTGTACTGTCGCGTGAGGTCTGACAGGACAGCAAGAGAAACCGATCGCTGACGTCAGGACCTGAACCATATACCACGATATTTACCATAATATTTCGAAGCCATTTCGGGAGTGTATAACAGCGTGTGAAGGTAAGAGGGGCTGTCAGTTACGGGGCAGGTCAGAAGTGAACCCAAGTACAGCGTGGTGGGTCTTAGAGGTGTTATCGCCACAGCAAAACAGGGGTGCTTTCTGTTAGCTGTGTCGCAGGTTTGCATCGTTATTTGTATCTGATGGAAGGTGAATCTGGAAACAGAGAAAGCTGCCTGGCTACAAAAAGAAGCTTTCTGACTTTGCTGTAATGCTTTCCCTGCCGTGTTCCAGTTCGGGGTGTCCCCTCAGGGGTGCAGGGCCGGGCGTGGGGCTCACCGGCACTGATGTCCCTCTTGTCCTCTCTCTCCTTGCTCAGCTCCCGCTCCAGCGTGCCGACTCGGGCCTGCAGCTCCTGACCGCTGGCCTGGGACTGGCGTGCCACCTCGTGCCTCAGGGCTGGCAGGCAGAGACACACACAGACACACACACACACACACACAGGCCGACACGGAGACACAGAGTGAGGCCGCGCTCGGATTGCCATTGAAATCACAGCGCAGGGCCCGTCTGAGCACTCATAGCTGGATCAGAGCGTTGGAGAGTGGGCCCGGGAAACCAAAAGGAAAATTACTAATCCCCATCTATGAACTGGCTTCATCACTCTGTTCTCCCCACTGATAGCTGGTGTGTGGTGAGCGTACTGGTGCACTATGGCTGCTGTCACATCATCCAGGTGGGGCTGCACACTGGTGGTGGTGGAGGGGATCCCCATTACCTGTAAAGCGCTTTGAGTGGAGTGTCCAGAAAAGCGCTGTATAAGTGTAAGCAATTATTTTTATTAAAAGTATGATTAATGATCACCCTGGCCTTCCAAACTATTTAGGAACAGGAAAAGGTTTATTCCGTGCTGAAAGGGAAAGCACAGAGGCACAACGTTTCAGCTCTGGAGTCTTCTTCTTCTTCAGCTTCCGAAGAAGGCCCCACAGCCGAAAACGTTGCGTTTCTTTTCTTCTGCTTTTCAGCCCGGAAGAAACCTTTAACTCGCTGCTTGGCAGCCTTCGCTTGAACCTCTCCCGCCCTGTGGGCTCGGCGGGCTGTCTCTGCGGCGGCGGGCACATGTGGCACGTGTGGGGAAAGCGTGTCTCTCACGTGCAGACGGGGGGACGAGGCCTCTCCTCACCGAGGTGTCCCTTCAGCACGGCCACGTCCAGAGCGCTGCGTCTGTACTTCTCCTCCAGCCCGTCCTCTACAGGGGAACACAGAGGCAGCAAGAGAGGGGCTCAGGCAGCCTAGTCTGACAAGGCACGGTCCTTGAATAACTCCACTCGTCCGTTTTCTTCTTTTCCTTAGGTTACACCTTTTTCTTCTTTGCCTCTTAGTTGGAAAGGCTTTAATAATAAAGGGGCGGAGTGGTGGCTCTGCGCCTGTGGCTGGAAGGTTGCGGGTTCAAATCCCACGGCCGGCAGAAGAATCCTACTCCGCTGGGCCCCTGAGCAAGGCCCTTAACCCCAACTGCTCCAGGGGCACTGTACAATGGCTGACCCTGCGCTCTGACCTCAAGCTTCTCTCCCTGTCTGTGTGTCTCATGGAGAGCAAGCTGGGGTATGCAAAAAGACTAATTCCTAATGCAAGAAATTGTATATGGCTAATAAAGTGATCTTATCATATCTAATATTAAGATCACAAGAGTGAAAACTCCTTGTATTTGTGCCACAGGAGAACAGCAGCATATATGAGGTCTGCCCCTTGACACAGAGTTTGGGTGCAATGGAGTGGAGCAGTGTCTGGGGCAGGGGTTTCCAATCCTGGTCCTGGAGGACCACACAGCTCCTGGTTTTTGTTCCAGCCCAACCTCAGTTGCACAGCTGAACCCTTACCTGACATACTGTACAAGCAGGACTACTTTGAACTGTGTGACCGTTTTCAGCTCTAAAGCTGCCTTTTCACCAATGTGTTTCGTAAAGTAACAGCAAATTCAAAACTTTCTAGTACAAAGAACAAAAATCTTGCGGAAGGTTTCTAAGCAATTTATTACTGCAATGACGCTTGATTGGAATGAAAACCAGAAGTCTTCCAGGATGAGGATTGGCAACCTCTGGCCTAGGGATTGGGGTCGAGTGGCTCTGAGACCAGTGGCCGGGAACGAATTCACCCCAAAGGGTCCCAAAGCGCCCCATGAATGAGATGTAAAACCAGTTTAATCGCGCCGTTGAGGGTCGAATTGAACAAAACGAACAGCTATTACACCCCGGACAGATGCAGGATCTGGCGGGACATTCCCTTGCAAAAGTGTGCCCTGGGACACGGCTGTGACCGCACACCGAGGCGCAGTAAACCGCGGGGAAGCGTATTTGGGGAAACGTGAAGTCGGGGACATCGGGAGAGCGAGTAAATGATCCCGCCGTTACCGTGGGAACTCCTAACAAGGTTTCGGTCTTTACCTTCTCCGCGTTTCTTCGCCTTCCCCTTCTTTCCTCTCCCTTTCCCCTTCTTCTTGGGCGGCATTGGGCTGACTCCTGCCTGTCCTTCATTTTGTCGCAGAAGACGAAAGAGAAATTTGCCTTAGCTCGCAAACGAGTCCTTCAAGCGAACGCAAAACGACACAGACAGTCAGGCTTGAATGCGTGATGTGATTTATGGTGCGGGGTTGCAGTATGATTGAGATATTGGTCTTTTAAAGACTCAAAGCCAGTAAGGCACTGTACAACTGTATTTAAACACTAGATAACAACATTCGTCTATTGTCATTGCACTCCAGACAATTTCTGAAACTTTGCACGGTACATTATTTAGTTAACCAAAGCTTTAGCTTGTGCATCTGTCTGTATACGCAGATTTGTGATGAGCTACAGTTTATACGGAATGGAAACTTGCAACAGATGTACTTAATTCAGTTTAGTTTTGCTTACGCGTTCAGACAGGATTTAGTGAAAGGTTGCAAAGCGAAAAGTTACATTGTAACTTTACATTACCTTTAATGTAGCAATCGGATCCGGCAAAAAATTAAATTCAACTATCCAAGGCAACTGCACAGTGAGGAGGTTCGTATTGGATGACTGACAGGTGAATGATCCACTCACGCCGCTCGGAGGCGGAGAAATTAGCCAATAAGCAACTAGCACGAAGGCGGGGTTTAACCGTTGCTAGGAAACGATGCCGCGCGTTGCTGTGGGGATCAGAGACGCCAAAAATCATTAATGATTTTAAATCCGATAAAAGCGTTTTCCTCTTCTTCGGGAAAGTAGTGATTTTATTATCCGAATAAAAATGGCCTAGTCAAGTACATTTAAAACGTAAGGATATGTTTGAAGAAATATGTGTATATGCATTAAATGTATTGGGGGATATCACACTTGTATCAGCATTGTAGACTAAAGTGTGCTTTTAAAATGACCAACACAGGGGAGGCGGTAACAACATACAAAATCAAGCTACGGGCATACATTAATTAAATACTTCATATTTCATATGTCCTGAAAGGAAGACAAAAAACTGTCACAAAGCCCAGTTCTCATCTCTCACAGCACATTTCCTGAAGGCGAGACTTTCTGTTAGCGCAAGGGAACGCGTGTACAGAAAGCTCATATTTTGATTACTAGTTAACTATTTATCACCGGGATTTATGTACCCATAGCCTTTTGACACGAGAACAGGAAGACTTGCATCCGATTTCGTCTAGTTAAAAGCCGCATCGCTGTTGTTTGAGGGGTGCGGTTCAGCCTGCGGTTTTGTCCCTTAGTAACCAGCATTTAGGTGTTTTATTTAGTGCCATTTCGTCCGCAGGTAGGGATTATGAGAGTGGTCTGACAAGAGCTGTATGGATGGGGAGTAATTTATAGCCTTGAATCCCATTCAGCAGTGAGATCAGCTGTTATTATTGTGAGGGCGAGGGTGAAAAGTAATGGTTCTGTGTCCAACAGCGCAGCGTCGTACCGGACAGCAGGGCGAGAAACTGCAAAAAGGGAGAGTGTGTGGTTTGTAACGGACAGAACTACCCCTCCCTCCAAAACCGGGCTCCCCCCTAAATATGTGCTTTGAGATGAAAAGCGCATTATTGTTTGCACCCGCGTAGCAAACAATAATTAATTGCTCGATCAAGTATGTTGTCGCAGGATTTCAGTGCAGGCGCTTCGTGCCTGAAATCCAAAAAAGATAGAAAGAAAAATGTCAAGAAGGCAGAAGAGCAAGATCTGGAATTAGGAGCCCTCGCTGGCGATGCTCGTGCCCGTCGCAGCGGCGCCTTTCCTGTCCCCTGCTCGGCCCGTGCCCGCGCATCGCGTCGCGGCGGAGGGGGGCGGGACCAGGGAGTGACCAACGGGGGTGTGTCTTGGGGGGGTGGGGGCGTGGCTTCGAAAGCGGAAAAGGATGTGCTTAGAAAAACTGGGGCCGCACTCGCGGGAGGGGGAGACAGAAGGCGGTGTTTATTTTTCCTAATTTATTTCTTTACGTTAGTTTTTTTTTTGTGTAACCTCCCTCCACCCGCGGTCGTTCTCGCGTTATTGGGCTTCAGTCTTTTTTTTTAATGTATATTTTCCTTCTGGCGCTCAGGGGTAGACACTCCGTTCTCGCCTCCTCCTCCTCCGTCGTTACCTCTCGTCTCAGCGGAGAAACTTCCCGTCTCACAGAGCAGGCACAGCTTCGAGAGAAGAGGGCGACAGCCGCCGAAAGAAACACCACGAAAAAACAACACCGGGTTTGCTAGGGAAGGGCGACACTCCTGCACTAAAGGAGAAGCAGAAGAGCTGCCGGACGGGCGACGCGTTTCGGGATTAATTTCTTTCCGGAGCCGGGGAGAGTGTATAGGTGATCCATCGGGCGGATACGTCCTCAAGTCCTGACGTCTCCTGCTGCAGCTGGGTTTATTTTTTGCCCTTTTTTTATTCTTGGTGTCGACGTTTTTAACTGGCATTACGGGCGATCGGGAGCTCATGGGACCTTCGCTTTGAGAGGACTCCATCCCCCCACCCCACCCCTGTCCCCCTCTCCCCCCTGACCGGCCCTCGCTGGGGCGCTGTCCGCTCCGGGGGGTGTTGGGCATCCCGGAGCCCGGCAGGGAAGAGAGGGGAGGGCGGTCACCCTCCCCCCCCGGGTAGCCGTCTCCCCCAAGCCCCCGGCGGTGGGTGGTGGTGGGGGGGGTGCGCCGGCCGGCCGGCGGCAAGCATGGCAGGCAATCTGAAGAAAGGCGGGGGGTTGATCGGGATGATGAAGGACGCCTTCCAGCCCCACCACCACCACCTCCACTCGCATCACCCGCCCGGCGCCGTGGACAAGAGGACCGTGGAGAAATGCTGGAAACTCATGGACAAGGTGAGAGTCGGGGCGAGACCCCGAGGTCTGTGCTCAGGACAGGAGGGCTGACAGCTGTTGATCTGTTGGTGCAGCTATTAAAAGATCCTCGTTATTCACCATCAACGGGAGTATTACGCGACCGGGACCTCCCTCAACCCCAGTTGCACAAGAGTAGGCAACAGCACGACTTCTCTGCTGCGGTTGCAATTGTACTTTAAAAAAAAAAAATTCAGGGGTGCGATTTCTGTTTCTGCAGCTAGTTTGTGCAACAAGCTACCTTCCGCCCTTCATCCTCACCGCCCCTGACGATAAAGACGCGCTCGGAGCTTTAAATCGCTTTTAAAAATGTCGGTGCCGTTTGACGCCGTGCTTGTGCGTGTGTGTGTGTGTGTTTTTCCTCCGGAGAACAGGCGCTGTTGGGGTTGGGGGGGGTGTTCTTCTGCTTTATGTGGCCTGCTGGTTCTTTATTTGCCCACGAACGCGTCTGACGTGCCCGAAGATGGCCAACTATTTGCGATCCAGCTGCCCCCACTCTACCCAGGCGCCGTGAAGGGGTTTCGCAGGGCTCAGGGCTGGGACAAAGACGAGCGTGTCTGACCCCACAGAGCACCCCGATTCCCCCCTTTCTGTATCTGCACGGGCGACGGCGTGCAAATCGAGCCGCACCAACCCCAAGAGCATCGGGGAGGGACGCCCCGCCTCACCCCGGAGACAGAAGTCGACACGTTTCTGGGTTCAAGAAAGGAGAGAGGGCTTCTATTCGGGCCGGGGGTGTGTTGTATTTTTTTTTTCCTTTGACTGCTGCAGACAATTAGCCGCGGTCCTGTTTCTGCGGTCTGCGAGCTGATCGATGGCTTGATTTGCAGCGTGCGCTGGCTGAGGCGCTCACCCCGGGCTGCCTGTGCGTGTTGCGCCGGGCTGGAGCTCTCCGGCGACAACAGGAAGTCATCACCGAGACCCGCGATCACGACAGCGAGACACCGCTGTCATGCCGTTGTAATTCAATTACAGTATCTCTCCCCCCCCGCCTCCAACACCCCCCAACGTTTTGCATCGGCCAGTGACCGGATGCGCGTCACGAACCTTGCCTTCATTCAGGCTTTTTCTCAAAAAAGCGAGAGAAATACCAAAATAATAGTTGCTAGCTAGTTTTCGGGTTGACTTACAGTTTTGAGTTAACTCCGTTTCATTGCGTTTTGTTTTAATATTGCATTATTTCCTCACGTCATACAACGAGGCCAATATCAGACGATATTATTTAGTGCTGACCATTGATGTTTTTGCAAAGTGAGTTGGTCGATTGCGGGATAAGCATATTAAATACGGCCTTTGCTGTTTGAGTCTGACTTCCTCCCATTTTAAAGGTCTCCGAGAAACAATATGCCTTCTTCCCTTATCATTTTCGCCTGTCAAGAAAGCTGCAGCCCAGGGCTCATCTTTGGGCTTGAAGATTGAGCGTCATTAGCTCTCCTCTTCCAACATGTCTAATTACAGTGTGCTTTTTTTAATACTCTACAGCTTTTAGAAGAATCCACAGGCAGGGGAATGGAAGGTATATAAAGGAGATGTGTGACTGTCAGAACAGCGAGATCTAGACATAGTGTGAGATCTTTCCCCTGCAGCAGAGTTGTGTGGCTGGCTAAATCCATGCAGCGTTTATGACTGCAATTTTATTTCCTCCTAATTATTCCATTGAAACATTCTCATTTGCTTATAGAGGGACCTGAAGTCTTCATCTCGGCTTCCTTCCTCTGGGGGGGTTAGAGGCAGCTTAGGCCCGTGTCGTCTGGTATTAAAAAAAAAAAGTCTGAGATTTTTTTTGAAGGTCCCGTGACAGCAGCAGGGGCAGCGGTGGTGTCAGGGCGCTGATATCCTCCTAACGCTCGGGCAGGGAGCTGTGGTAGTGTCCGTAGGAGGCAAAGGCACAGGTGAAGGTAGACGATGAAGGGTAAAGCAAAGAGACAGGATTTGGGCCGTGGAGTCTTCTTCAAGCGTGAGGCCGAGAGGGGAAAGCCGCACATCGAGAACGCACAAGAGAACGAAAGACGAGAGCAGGAAAGGGAGGGATTGGGCACGGGGCGGGTGAGGATGAGGGTCCGAACTCGGAGGGAGAGCTGGGGAGAGCCGGAATCTGCAAGTGAAGCCCCCCCCCCCCAGGCGGTGGCCGTGAGTCATTTTGAAAAGGGGAACTGCGACGCGGTTCCGTCACGGAGAGAGCGCCGGCAAGTGCTGGTTTTCGGGCGCCTGTGCGTCCGGAGGGGCGGGAGGAGGGAGCAGACGGGAGAGATCCTGCGAAAAGTAAAAGCCCCAGGGGAGAAATCGGAAAAGAGGTGGGTCAGCAGGGGGAATCGGGGCCCGCTCGAACCCTGAACCCCTCCGGCTCTTCCCTGACGTGCTGCCATACCCCCCCCCCGTGGGTGTCACACGAGTGTCTCCTCACCCCCCCCACCAAAGGTCCATCCTAAAAATCTGCCAGCAGATCCTCCTAGAGAAACAGTTTTAATGGCTGAAAATGATCCATGGATATGCTTCACATGCACAGCAGTATGGGGGCAGTGCTCAGGGCTTTGGACCTGTAACTGCAAGGCTGTGGGTTCGAATCCCAGGTGAGACACTGCTGTTGTACCCCTGAGTGCAGCTCTCCCCCTGAACCGTGCCCAGCCGGATAAACTGAAACCAGTGTAAGTGTCTCTGGATGAAAGCACCAGTCAAGGATTTTTTTGTAGTAAATTTAAATCTTTTTTACATTACTTGAAGGGCCCGTTGGAGGTAACTGCACAGCAGAGGAAGTCAGAAAGTAACGCAGTCGAACGGCTTTCAGAGAAACATGCTTCAAAGAGAGGTGGGATCGGTTGTGAACGCGTTGTGTTTCAAAGCACGGCAAGAACGGGGGGAGGGGGGATTTGAAGTGGCGGTGTTGAGCGTTTGTGGGGGAGATGGACGTCTCCGGGCCCTGTGCTTGTGAAAGGGGAAATCGAGCCTAGTCCTCACTTCCAGCAGTGACTGTGTCTCCCAGCTCCTTCAGCCCTTACTCTGGGCTTCAGAGCTCCATGGCAGCCTTCCGTTTTCTTGGAATTTCAGCCCCAGACAGCTGGGATGCTAGCAGGTCTGCCTCGTGGTTCGGTATTGTAAAAACAGACAGGACGGGCTCAGCATTCTTGTCTTTATGTGATGGTGTTCCGTTACAGCTCATTTGAGGCTGTACAGTAAGAGTGAAACTCCACTGTAGTTCGCTGGCGGGGGAGATGTGTACAAAACAGTATTGCATTGCGCCGAGACTGCACTGGAGAATAATAAAGGCATATGTACTGTGTGTCCTGGCTGCTGGTGCGTTTTAGTCACGGGGAAAAATTGTCTAGAAGCAGATCGTTAGTGGTGTATCCTGCAGACAAAAAGAAAGTAGAAACGCAAGGGTTTGGAAAGGTGACCTCTCTCTCGTCCCCCCCCGCCTCCTGTGCTGGGGTTCGAGTTTTTGGGACCCCCCCGGTCGCTCCGGACCCCTCTGATGTTCTAGATGTTTTTGAATGTTGGAGGTCGTCTGAGTGGGACTCGCCCGGCGCCAACTGGAGTCTTGCACAGGCCTTGTAGGTCGTGTAGCGGGGCAGCTCATCGAACCCGGTGCTGGGAGCTCAGCTGGTGCTGTGTGCTCAAGGAGAGGGGGGGTAAAGGCCTCCAGCTTTGGAGAAACGGGTTTGGCCTCTCCGCTGGTTAAAAAGGAGAGGGGTTAAGCCGTTGGCGCGGGGATGAATTGTTTTCTCAACGCGGGCCTGGGCTTTGTGCATGTGTGCTCCTGGCTGCAAAATGTGGAAAGTAGAACTTCAGATGGTGGTTGCGAGCAGCCGGCGTTTTACAAAACCACTCTCTGTGGCAAGGTCTTTTCAGAAGCACGTATCGGCGCCTCGAAAAGTTTTGCTTTTTGTCACCTGTCATGCGTTGCAGCACAAATTTCCTTTCCGGGGTCGAGGGACAGACCTTACACCCAGCAGCATTATTGAATATCGGTACCACACACATAATGACGTGTAGGAGTATGTATACCTCATTTTCAACTCTTAAAAGAAGAGATTCCGCTGGCGAAGGCCTCCCTCTCCTTTAAATGTATTTAACCTCTTCTTATTTTTGGGGTCCCGCGCCGCGATTGTTATAAAGAGGCGCAGTTTCCGTCTCTGCTGTCTCATCTCTGCAGCCTCCTGGCCCTGCAGTTTCTCTGCTGGCTCCACACTGTTTGCGTGCATTCTCCTCATGCTGTAGGGGCTCCAGTGCTGCATTTGTAACCGATCTGGTTATGCCATGTATTTCAGAACAGTAGAAGGACAGGAAATAGGTTACAGATAGAAGGAGAACATGTAGCCCTTCCAGCCTGCTTGCTGGTTGGCAGTTAATTAATCTAAGGGTCCAGCTGTTTACTGAGAGGAGCCAGGGTGTCACCTTCAGCAACAGGGCTGGGTGTCTTGTTCCCTGCTTCCAAACCCTTTGCGTAAAGTCGCCCCTCCTGTCCTGATTGCAGAGTCTCATCCAGCTGTTTCTCGAAGGGAGCCAAAGCAGCGCCTTCAACAATACAGCTGAGTATCTCGTTTCACGCTCCCAGACGCCTAGTGTTGAGTGTCTGGCGTGCTTGGGTTTGACACGTACTTAATCATAGCTTCCACTTGTATCCCTCTGGTTCGTCTGAAACTTGAGAGAGAAGATGAGCTGCTGATCACAGCTGTTGAGGTGTGTAGCTCAAGTTCATCTGATTGCTCTGTTGTGCATAGTGGTATGTACTGTAGTACTCATCTTCTTCAATTTCTTGAACTTCTTTGCTTGTTTTATAGCAGGGTGGATCATACCGTTAAGTTACTAGATCTGGGGTTAGTTTCTCTCACTGACAATAGTCTGAAGCTTGTATTCCACCAGTGTTCGGAGAAGGATTGATACAAAGTTGGCGTTTGACTCCCGAGATCTGTGGATAAAAGTTGTTGGCTCCCCACCCCCTTCTTCAATGGCAGTAGCACATCATCTTTTTTTTTATTAACCCC